AAGAATAAAATATTTTATTTTTAATACAAATATTGTTGGACATTCATTACGAACAACAACTATCAATATTAATACAATTTACACATTATATTTATTTTACTGAAAAACGTCTATGGAATATTTACATATCTGTAAATGCTATTTTATCTATATGAAAAATTTAATTCAGTTACATTATGTTATAGCTATTGTATCTACAATTCAGAAATTAAATAATCCGGGAAAGTATTATGTATCCATGAAGGATGCGTTATGTTTTTTAACATTATTTCATAACACAATATATTACATTAAAATAATAAAATGCAGACAGAAATATACAATATGGCAAATTCATACATATTACATCAATAGTGTTTTTCATTTTAACCAGAAATCGGTGGCATTAAAACTGTCCCTTTGCATTCGAGTGCAATCTTTACACCCAATGCAAAAAATCCAATGCTCTTAATCACTGACCTAAAAACAAAAAAAACTGTTTAAAATTTCTCTATTATATGTACATACATTATGAAAACATGATAGTTAATTACTAAGTAAAATATTACAAATTATAAAACAAGCCATTTTCATAATTTCATCAAAAGGTTATAAGCACTAATAATGATTAAAGAAAATTAAGATTTATAAATGTACCATTTAAAAGGGTCGTAATAAATTTCCTTTAAAAACCTCATACTCGATTTCATTATGATAAGTTATAATATGAATTTAAAAATAAATACTTTCAGTTGTTTCGAATATTGCTATTTATACAATGTTCGGAGCAGTTTAAAACCGCACTATTGAAAAAACATAACCTTCTTAGGGTACTTAATCGTGGAGTATGTTGTATGTAGAGTGAGATAATGCTCAGTTACCTCATAATGCCCGTACAAAAGGAACTAGAACTTTTGGCAGTTTTCAATTATATTACGTGTCTCTGCCGTAAATACCTAAGTAATATTTTTAAATATACATTTTATATAAATTTCTTTATAAAATGATGTAAAGAAATCCGTTTTTCTGTTGGTATAATATGCTTTTTTTATTTATTATATATATTATATGGAGGGGGTAACTTTTCGTACGGGGAGTGTCACTAGAGTACTCGCGGGCACCGATTTAGACATCCCTGGTATACAATATACCTGTTTTCTCATTGTTATTAAATTTTAAAAACATAAAATCGAATTAGATGTTTTATATTATGCATACACAATTCTACATTTTTTTATTCCAGAGAACGGTGGTATACATTAAGATAAGTCTTCAATATCTGTTCACACAACACAATGAATAATTTTTACTTCCCATATAGATTTAATTTCTCTAATATAAATTAAATTTACCCTAACAATAAAAATCCAATTTTTAACAATTTATTAGGATTTATTATTAAACATTTTTTTATTTATTTTAAGCCTTGTGTGTTTTACATGTTGTTTGAACATAAATATGTCCTTAGTACTGTTTAAATATTCACGTGAAATGTAAAAATGACGCTCTCGAAGCAAAACGCACATAATTGTGAAATTACGATATTATAGCTGTTTAAATCCAGAGCAAATAAATAAGCAGCACTGTGGTGAAGGGAAGTTGGCATGCCAAACGGTGCAAGAGGAAGAGGGGTATTACGCTTCTTCACCCGATTCCGTGTTATATGATCCAATTTGTTAATAATAGCATTTTGGCCAATAATGAAAATAATTTTCCAGCTCTGTATAATAATGGTGTCTATTTCATCGGGGTGTTGTGAGATGCAGACTACAACTTGCAATTAATAAATACAGTTGTACATTACACGATTCATTCGACTCTTATTGTGGTACAATGGCAAGTACAAAATATGAAAGAGGGCTCTGACGGTGCTGTGAGTTTTGATTGGCAGAATGTGAAGACACATGTCAAATAGAAATATGATACCACATATCAAATAGTACATAATTATCGAGTGTGCTCATGTGAAATTATATGAATGCACAATAAAAAGGTGAATCAATTTAACTGTGCGTACTTGCACAAATGTACGTGGAAACCGTAACCGTAAACATCAGCTGTCAAACATTAATATTTACCTTCGAATTACAATTGATTACAGTGCGATGACAAACAAGATTCAAATAAGTTAAAGTCATTGTTAAAGAAGGTAAATAACGTTTATTTGAATATTTTACTTTTGCGATTCATTAATACAACGTGCTTTTTTAACTAAGCTTATTTGTTTCAATAGATGAAGTTATTTCTAGTTTTTTTATTTGATTAATTTGTATAATAATAATTAAAGTTTTAAAGAAGATTTATAAATAAAAAAGGTTAATCAAATGATTCATTGACTTAAGTAGTAATTTAAAATCTTTTATATATCTCGTATTATAGAACACCTTTCTTGTATTAATACGTGCAATCTATTTGTTTTGCAGAAATTTATCATCTTTTATGGAAGAAACCAATTTGAATTAAAACATGTTAGAGGAAGAATTTACTTCAATTGCTTTACCTACGTTGTCTACCATGTTACTTTTCCTATTTACATTATATTTCTTCCGATATCTTATAGGAGAGACTCATATTCCCATCAGAGATGTTACTAAACAGCATAATTGGAAATCTACTAGAAAGGAAACTAAGGTATATTAATCTTTATTGTATCATATATAATAAAGTAGCATAGTGTGGAAAGATGTAACATAATATTTATAGTTACTATAATACAATATAATATAATAATTATTAACATGTTTCATATCATGTAAAATATCAGGGCACGAATTTAAAATTAATTAGAATTTGTATTATGGTATTTAACATAATATCTACAACATGTATATATTAAATTAATTGCTTTAAAGAAAAATAATGGTTTTTGTTTTAATTCCATTGATCATGAAATAATTATAAGAAGATTATTACATATATGAAAATTTATAAATTTATTGAAAGTATTATATTGAGAAAGAGTTAGTGTTCTTGTGCAATATGGAAAATGATAATACATTTTCATATTTTGAATAAAATTGATTAATCATTAGTTTATTTGGTACAGTAAACATTTATGAAACTTCTTTCTGTAGGCATATTATTGTAGTATATGCGAAGGTTTGTTATTAAATACTGATGGATTGATGTGTGATTGCTGTGGCGTGTGTGCGGATCCTACTTGTGTCAAGGTTGCAGATAAACAATTAAAGTGTAAAGTTATTAGTTTAAACACGAATGAGCCAATGAAGCATCATTGGGTAAAGGGTATGTTCTCTCTTTTTATTCTCTTATATAATAACAAAGATAATTATAATTTATATAATTTGTTTATTTTATTTAAGGCAATTTACCTCTAATCGCTGTATGTGAAGTATGTAACGAAGAATGTGATATGGAACCTGGTCTAACAGATTGGTGGTGTTGCTGGTGTCAAAGAAGTGTTCATGAAGATTGTAAACCTAATCTCTCTGAAGTATATTTTACATATTTACATAGCTTATGTTGATTTATATAAGTAATTTATCTACTGTGTCTACAGATATGCGATCTTGGTAAATTTAAACTGATGATAATTCCACCAAGCAGTTTAGAAGTTGTAAATCAACGAAGTACAGTACGACGTAGATTACAACTTCGCACAGTTATACCACCAAATTGGCCTCATTGGAAACCTCTTATAGTTGTTGGTAAGTTAATAATGTACAATGGAATTATATTAATCAAGTGATACAATGCAAACTTAAAATAATTGTGTCGTATAAATACTATTATGTTATTTACATGGTTCTTTTATAGCGAACAAAAAATCTGGCAATAAAGATGGAGCAGAAATCTTGTCCTTATTCAGAAGGTTATTGAATCCTGCTCAAGTTGTTGATTTATCAGAACGTGATCCAGTTGCAGCTCTTGAGTGGTGCCGCTTAATAGGAAAAGTAAAATGTACTGTTCTTGTAGCAGGTGGAGATGGTACAATAGCTTGGTTATTAAATGCTATTTATAAACTTAAATTGGAGGTAATGTATTGTCTATTTTATCTTACATTCTACTTAAATACACATGTATTGCAATGTCTAAAATTCTGAGATTAAGGTTTAATGGTAAAACATTTATAATTATAATATATTTGAACCTTTATTTAATCTTCTTATAAATAGGGAATCGTTTGGTAGAAAATTACTAGGATTAACTTTTTATTATTACACAAAAGTGTTTGCATACCTATATTTTTTAATAAAATATATTTTTATTTGGATTAGCCAGTTCCATCTGTGGCAATAATTCCTTTGGGCACAGGGAATGATTTATCTAGAGTATTAGGATGGGGAAAGGAACATGATCCGCAAAGGGATCCAGCATATATATTACAAGAAATACAAGCGGCACAAGAAGTGAAACTTGACAGGTATCTAAAGACTTAATAAGTATAAATATGAAATATGAGATCGAGCAATTATATTTATATTTGTAATTTATTAGATGGTCTGTGGTGGTGAAACCATATGGCGGATTAGGACTTCGGGGTTCACATCAGAAATTTCATATGTATAATTATATAGGTATTGGAGTGGATGCACAAGTAACGTTACAATTCCATCGTACAAGAGAAAGTCGATTTTACTTTTATAGTAGTAGATTATTCAATAAGGTAATATATTTTATATAGTATTTTATCTTTTATACAAAGAATTTATACTTTTATATTTGTAATAGCTACTATACCTATGTTTTGGCACGCAACAAGTAGTGGAAAGAGAATGTAAAGATCTTGACAAAAATATAGAATTATATTTAGATGGTGTTAAAATGGATTTGCCATCTATTGAGGGTATTGTGATATCAAATATTCCTTCTTGGGGTGCTGGCGTGAATCTTTGGAATACAGGTATTGAAGATTTAAATATTTTTCCATATATGAAACTTAACAAAATATGTATAAAAATGTACAATACATAAACTTTTTTTTGTTTGTCACTAGGTCGTGGTGAAGAATATGTAAAACAAAGTTTTAATGACGAAAAATTGGAAGTAATTGCTCTTTATTCTTCATTTCATATGGCTCAGCTTCAAGTAGGACTTTCTCAGCCTTATCGAATTGGCCAAGCTAAGTCTGTTAAGGTATTGTAAATATTATTTCATAAATTTAATTTTTTCATCTGTAACTATTTCCATTGCTTTATATCTTTTAATCTATTATAGTTTATAGAGTTGCAAGCAGAATTACATTTTTTATCTGATTGGATCATTTTTTAAATAAAATTAATACGTTAGGTGCTTAAATTTATCTAGTGTTTACCATAAATTGTTGAATATATAATTGTCAGTACATTTAATAAATAAATATTTTATAACATATAGATGAAGTTACTAAAATCTTATGCCATGCAAATTGATGGCGAACCGTGGTATCAACATCCTTGTGAAGTTAATATTATATATTGCAACAAAGCGTCCATGTTGGTGAATACTGTTTCTGAAGTAAATTAAATTTTATCAGTATATTTATATGGTCGTATTTATGTACATTCCAATGTTTGGTATAGAGTGACAAGAAATTTAAATGTTTTGTTAACAAAAACTGTCTATTAATGTGATGGAAATGATGAGAGATAAATATCTTTTCTGCAAACAAAGAAATATCTAGTCATTATTCTGTAAAAATATATGATCTGTATATTATACCTCAAATAAATGAAATATAATTTCAATTTTATGTGTTTTTATTACACCATCACTTGCTCTTCAATTTGAATAAATTGATCAATACTTTTTTTCATGTTTTATTCATAAGGTAGTATTATTTGTTGAATCAAATTTAATGATCTGCCATACGAAGCCATTTGATTGTATAAAAAATGATTTCTATAAATAATTATCTTACGTATAGAAAAAATAATTTGGGTACTTATCTTGTGATAACTGCTGCATACAGATTATATAAAAAGTTCTGAAAAATTTTGAGTAATTTACCATAAATTATCGATTGCATAAAATAGACATGAAATTAATTAAAATAGACGAAAGTCGTCAGCTGTCCTCGATTGAACACATATATCTCATTTTAATATCGAATTCGACAAAATTATCTAATTATGACGGAACGTCAAATGGATTTCCTTGTTATGTTAATAACACTTTGGTTAATACACGAAACGTCTAGAATGATCAGTAACATGAAGTAAATGAAGGTAGAACAATTTTTTTAAGATTCATATTATATTGATTATCTTAAAAAACGAAGTGGACAATATCTACATTAATTTCTGAAAAAATAAATAACAATAACGTGGAATTGTACGGTACAATTAAAATTTCATTACATTTTGTTTTCAATTGGTAAAATGGTGATCGATGAGTTTATTAGAGTGACGTATAAGTAATTTAAATAAAAAGCGATGTAATTAACACGTCGACGTCATATTTCAAGTTCAGAAAGATTCTTTTCTAAAATGGAAACCAAACTGACCGCATTTGTAACGCAAAATCTTCGCTAATTGTGGTGGGCCACAGTAAAATACCGTCACTTTTCCCTTTTTCTTGTCTTTGAGCTGTTTAAAAACTTTATCCCAGTTCGGTCGGCCAGCGTTTGTCCTTGTTTTTAAACCTGTTATAAGATCACGTTTCTCCTGAAAAGTTTCAAAATCATTTTCTCCATTTCTGTATATCTTATCCAGTTTTTATAATTCAATATTTTCGGTAAGTGAATAATATTCGCAATATGTTTTTTCATTAAAAACAATTTATCATCTAACTTCTTCACTTTTATTTTGTAGCCAATTATTTGATTGGTTACGATAAGAAAAGTGTCGGTACGGTTAGTGTTAATTTTATAGCGATATCTTACCATTGCATGAAGCAAATCCATAGCTAACTGCAGTCCGACAGCTTTCATGTCGTTCTTTTGCAGTGCGCTAGTAATGTACATGTGCATCTCGAGGAAATGTTCCATGGCGACACCAAGCTCTGCTTGTTCCATTTCTAATTGAGATAATAAGTTCACGAACCACTCGAATGACCTCTGATCTCTATTAATCCAAAAGAAATCTACCTAAAAATTAAATTTCTTCAATTGTTTCGAAATATCATTTAAAATAATAACATTAAAAAGAATGGCCATCAATTTTATCCTCCGTGGTCTAAAGTGTTCTAGGTTTCACACTTCGGAATATGGAACAGTGTTATTTATTTCAATTATAATTTAATATAGTACTTTATTCATTTATTTGACAACATTTGAGCAAAAATGAATGATAGGAAAAATTGGTAGAATATGCTACTATTTTATTATAGTATTAGTACCATGCAATTTATAGTAGTAAAGTAGTTCAGATACCAAATTTTCAGAGTCTAAGAGAGTCTAAGATTTCATTATACTTTATTCAATTTCTTGTATACATATTTCGTTTTAAACAATTCTTTATGTTGAGAATGAATAAAACACTTCATCTTCATGTTTATAATGTAAAATGAATAAGGTTTTTATATTTTCTTTGAAACTTCCAAGTTCATTACTTCAGAGAAACGAGGAAGAAGAGGCAGCGTAAAAATGGCGGGATAATGTTTACCTTTCTCAAGTGCATTACAGTGGACGGAATATCGCTAGCCCAGGAAAATTTACATTGCGGACACATGTGTCTGGCTTTCCAATAACGATGCATGATGGATTGTAATATCGAAGCGAACGGTGTGACTCCGATCCCGGTTGCAATTAAAACCGCGTGTTGCGCTTGGAATATGTGACTTGAAGGAGCGCCGTACGGTCCGTCCAGGAAAATCTAAACGTTTATTGATTCAGCTTCAACTATCAGTCTTTGACAAATTTTATGGATTGACATACCATGGTATTTTATTAAAATATTCGAAAAAGGATGCAACGAAATTTATTCAAAAGTTTTAGGGTAATTAGGTACTATAAGCGATTTGATGAATTTTACATCGACGATTGTAACAATGTTTACGTGGAATATTTGTTTCCATTTGGTTATTAAAACTGAACATTAATGATCAAAATTTTGTGATTTTTAAATTTACTTATTATACTTACTATACTTTGCTACTACTATTGTCGGAAAAATTTTAATAATTTTTCTTTTAGAAAAAATGCTTTTTCTTTAGAAACAGAACATTCTTTCTTCATAAGGGCTTCTTTAAATAAATTATTCCTTAAGAAATAACGCGAAATTTTTACCTCTAATGGTTTTCCTAAATAATTCAGATGCGAATCGGAAGAAATATCTGACTTAGCGTTTTCCATACTTCCATTTAATATTTCGTCCGATTTTGACGATAATCTACCTTCTTCCGCTGCTACTTGCATCGTGGCTAATTTGGACGACAAATTTTTGTACTTGTCTTTATTTATTTCTGAAATTGCTATTTTATGATATAAATATATATGTAGATTACACGTTTAATTTTTCGAAAAGCGTTAGAAGAAAATAATTAGCTCACTGTCGTTGCTTGTAGACATTCCTACTTCGTATTCATAATTCGTCATGCTTGGAGTCTTAAAAGCAATTATAGTAGGTTTAGTTCTCATATATCGAAAACTTTGAGCTATGTTTTTATTTTGTGGGCTTAAATAAGCCTGTTCTAGGGATTTCAATCGTGCACATTGCATTTGACTTTCGTTAAAGTTCCTCTCTGATTCGGACCTCATGTATTCGCGAAGTCTGTCAAATAAAATCATAATTGTAAAACTATGTAATATTTATGTATGTCATAGGAATTGTTAGATTCTATTTTCATCGAAAATTGATGAACCGTTTGAAAATTTATAGACATGAAATAAGATACGTAGGTTGCTTACACATTTAGTCTGTCTCTCTTTTTTCTTCTCGTTTCCATGTCAGGTACTGAGATAGACTTTTTTAATGGGATTTTGCTGTGAAGCAGTAAACGGTGAAGCCTTCCTTCCTTGGACACTTTACTACTGTCAGGTAAACCTACATGTAGAAATTGTTTCTAATCATTTTCATAAAATTGTTGAAAATATAGAAATCTATTAATATCAAAGTAAATATCTAAATATATAAATTTGAAATATAAAAGCATTTAATTTATGAAAATTTGAGAATGCTAATAATGTCATTTACATTTATTGTATTCTTTAGAAAAGTATAATTTGCTATTTAAACAAATTTCAAGAAAGTAGAACTATTTCTTTGCATGAAATTTGAGTATTTGTATGGTCAAAAAGTTCCATGCGTCATTGCTAAGAAGTAGAAACGGTAAGTCATGAGTAGACATATTCGAAGATTCCTATTTAACGGTTGATATATTTTCAAATTCGTTTATTTCAAAAGTGAAGTGTCTGTTTTTATAGGCAATAATTATTGTGCCATTAACAGAAATAGAAAAATTAAGTTCATCCTTTACCATTTGTACTTTGAGGCAAACAATTGACGCTGCCACTATCGGAGACAAAGGCTGGATTATCAAGACCTTGATGATCTTTCGATGACATTGAAGACATTTTCATATTTGGAATTAAATCCTGTTTTTTATTAAGGTACCTACAAAAAAATAATTATATCTACTCGTTAGAAAGTAATGTTTTAAATGTATTCAAACAAAAGTAGATTATAGACAATGTTTCCATCGAATAGGACTCACACATTTTTAGGAACACTCTTGCTACTGCAATCTTCTTCTGAAAATATACTTCCCGCTTGAAGTTTCATTTGTTCATTCTCAAAATATGAATACAATCTGTTCGTCCATTCACCGACTGCTCGAATATGAAGCCATATATAATCTATGAAATACAATAATTATTAATATTATAGTTGATACATCAATCATTTTATTTGTTTAAATGGAATGTCTATATTTTCTTTCTAAATTCTGATAAAGCATCGAATTCTGCATAAAAAATCATTATACTATGTAGTGTCTAAAACGAATAATTACTAAGATGTTCATAAAATAATTATCCCGCATTACAAGGTATGCTCATTCAACGGGACTGTTATATTTGGACTATTTTGTTTACGGTGACAAGTAATGTCGTTAAACACGCTTCTAGGCATTAGACATCGTCGATATGAAATATTAGCTAAGCTTAGTAATAATAAAAGTCGCACAGAAAAAAGTACTGTATTTATTGAGATTTCGTACGTTAACGCGTTGACTGCCACGAGAATTTCGAACGTTTCGTTATAGCAAGATTTATTCCTTTACAATACAGGAAAATAGTATTAGAAATAATTATTAATGTTTTGGTATTACAGTGCTCATATTACACTATTATCTAGCTTCTTGTGTTTCTGAATATTTTGATTCAATGGCAATTTTCTTATTGTAATTGTTTTCGAGCAATTTGGAAGCTCCGGTTACCGGTGACCACCATTTCGATCAGGATATTTATTTTGATACAATAGTTTAGCTCTGGCAGTATTTTCATCGCACGCAGCCTGAACATTATCACTCATACATGTCTACCCTTTGCACCCCGACTTATGTACGTCCCTTCCAACTTACGTCATCCATTCCGGAACCAATTAGTACTGAATTTTTGAAATTGTTTACATGAAATTGTCTAACCTTCTTGCTCTGGCGCGCTGCTGATGGTAAAAGGATGCCACTCGTAGCGAGCAATAGCGGGAACGTTCACGAAAACATAATCGCCAGGATTAAAACTGAACTGAAGCGGTCTTTTGATGACTAAGTGCGTCACTTTCGAAGGCAACAGGAGACCGGAACTTATGTACGTTTTCCCGAGCTGCGATCGGGTCCAAGCAATCCGATGAACCTTTTCTATCAGGCACAATGTGCCTGGACCGATGAACCATTTCCAAAAATTCGGTCCATGGAAAATCGTTAATATCCAGAAAGGTATGTAGAGTAAGTGGGACCAGTAAAATATCTGTAGAACAAATAATCAGCGTAACTGTAGCATATTATAAGAAAAGCAGGAGGTTTTCGAAATCGTAGCATTACGTCATTAGGAAGTTAATAAATTCAAATGAAAAAATGAGTTGAAAATGTGAACACACAACTTGTCATATTAAATTTGATTATCTAGTTAATCAATGCTGTGAATTCTGACTCATTAGTTATTACTATTCGTAACTGTTTTACAAGAATTTGGATTGGACTTAGAAAGCTTTCTTATCGAACGCTTCTTATGTATATCAAAATGTTGATCTTAACCCTTTCAAGGCAGAATTTTCAGTTCCTACTTTTTATGATTTTATTGGGCTGTATGCGTTTACGGTACATAATATAATAATTGTCAAAATTTTATAAGAGACCAATTTTTCATACTGCAGAAAATATTAGGTGATGTAGCGTAGTTACCACCAAGCAATAACGATTGTACATTTTCCAAAACTATAATTTTTATTTGTTGCAAAAACTACTCAATTTAACGAAACTTAAGATCTTAAAATGTCTTTCCGTGGAATTTTCGTCTTTTTCGCTGTAATAACAAAATTTGAAAAGGTGGCATGCCGCGGCACTGCTGAGCTTGAAACGGTTAAAAGAATTTAAGTTGTATATTGTCGATCGATGCGAAAGAAAAGTGTTCGATAATCTTATTATAAACTTGTAAACGTTTTGTCGGAAAATTGTTCTTGAAATTTGTACAACCTCGAAACATCCACCACGACGAACGAACGGCATCGAGCACACCGTCATTATGGTAAGAATAATGACAAGAATGATCCCAATTGGGTTTGCATAGCCTTGTACGAGACCAAATCGTCCTGGACGGCTCGTCAACAGCCACTCGTATGTAGTGTAATTTTTAAAATTGAGCACTTCATCGTATACAACGACCGTACCTAAAAATTTCATTAGTTTGTTAATTTTATAATTAATTTTTTCCGATACTAGAATGTAACGAACAATAAGTAATAGTGATTTTGTTGTAATTTAATTTTTCACTAATCATGACCGACCGTTTCGTATATATATTCGTATATATCAGGGACTTATCGATTCGAATAAAGAATAAATAGTGTAAATATTTTATAGTTTCATATAAAATTAAGGAGAATTGATTGTGGACATTTATCGAGTATACGTTCTAGTTATTGCTATTGAATCGGATAATAAAGATGTACGATTAATTTTTTATTTCGTTATTTTTAGAGAGAATTTATATTGTATTATATTTATTGTTGATCATTCAGACAGTATCTGTTCGAAGTTTACGTTTAGCACAATGCAATGTCAGTTCCATAGTCTCGTTTTCGATTTGTTATTAAATTAGGGGATACGTATGAAATTGAAGACGGATTGATGCTAATGATATAATTCAATGCTGATAAATAATTAATAATAGCACCGTACCGAAATTGAGAAGATGCATCAGTGTGTGCACTACACTGAAGGCGCCAATTAAAACACCCGTTACCTTGTGAAGGTAAATGTGTTGATCCAACGGAAGTACAGAATTAAAAGAGTGTGTTCGAAGAAAGGTAATGCACTGGCGTAACATAAGAACCAGGATGAAGCTGCAGTTAAAATTCAGACACTGACCTGTATTGAAATGTTTACTTACTAATTAAAAAAAAAGAAATTAAAGTAACATATAGTAAAAATACAAAATTTCTTTCTTACAGGCTGCCATTTCTTTCATAAAAATTACTATTTATACACACAAAAATGCCAGTATACTCCTCGAAGATTTTCAAATAAAACCATCAAATAAATTTTAATATTTCTCTTGATTCGAGGAAAAAGAATTTCGAAGCATCGTTTCATTTTTCACAGCCAAAGTTCTTGTTAATTTGAACCAAAAATAAATCTTGCAACCATATTTCTTATTAGAAAGTTATATAAATTAATTGAACGTTTACTTTTATAGGTGTAATGTTCCCAATGAAAGTTCAAAGAGGAATGAGTCACAAAGAAATTATTTCCTTTAATTGTATTATTATCATTAATTCTTGTAATAATGTCAATCTTCGTTTAGTATGGTCGATACATTTCTTATAAATTAACTTTTTTATAAATACGTATTTTCTTACCACAAGCCCGAGCAAGCATGACGTAGCCGTTCGAATGCCTGTACTCGCAAAGTCTTGAAATAAACAGGGCAGCATTAACGAAAATGAAAGCACCGATAAAAGCGAGATAAACGTAATTGTTCTTCATATACGGTTTCGTGAATTGATAAGGCCGTAATGATGCGAACGATCCAAACAACGATTTCTGTTTCGCTTTCGGCTTCGGTGGAACCAGCCATCGGTCGATACTGCGAGTTAATTTCTGTTTTTAATTATTAGGTCATCCCGCAAGCAACATGTTTTATAAGTAATATCTTTGCAAGGTACTTTTTAATGTCATTTCGAAAGTGGCGTTAAGAAATTAATCGTAAAACGGGGGAAATCTTACTCAACGATGGTCGATACGTCGACGAATGAAACAGAAAATGAAAAATATTAAATTTTTAATATTTAATTTAAATTAAATGTAAATCTTTTACGTTAGAAGTTGGTATAAGAAAACGACATTACTTGTGGGATGATAAACGTTTTCTGTTTCGATTAACACGTTGACTGCCGGAATTTCCAAATTACTTTCCAATAACACAAAGTCCCAGTACAGTTAGTGTTAATAATTATTCCTTTTTATCTTTTCTACAAAGGAATAAGTGATTTTTTTTTGTACCAGTCAACGTGTTAATGGGACAAAGTAGGTATCGTTAACTGTTCCGCAACTAGTGGGAACAAAGATTTGCTCACCTGATCGAAAGATTTTCTAATAAACCCTCGTGCTTCTTTAACTGATTTTTTAGCGCTTCGTAGGTGATCGCTCCTCGATTCGATTGGTCAGCGTCCTCGAATAGCGCCACAGTTAATTCCTTGATTTGTTCCTCGCTGAATTCCATTCCATTTTCCTCCATGCAAGCCCTCATCACGTGTTCCAATTCACGAAGTTGAATTAATCCATCACCTTATTGTAATCAATTGTTTTCCAGATAATACACATAATCATCTAATAATATAATATTATAATAGAACAAAAATCTTGTAAAACTTTATTATTATTTTATTACTAAATTCTTTGCCCGGTTATAAACGTTCCATACAAATTAATTTCATTTATCATATTTGTGTCGAAATAAAATAGATTTACAAGCAAACATTTTGTAAATACAACGATAATCAAGAGTAAGTTTCAAAATAGTAGGTTTATCACTTATTATTAATATCATTATTATTATTGAATATGTAGTAATAATGATTTATTGATAAGATGTGTGAAAATATTAAATTTTACAAAATACAGTACCTGTTTGCAAATCATACTTTCTTTTAATCATTTTTAATAATCGTTCTTTATTTTCTTATCATGCTCTCTTTTGATATCACCTTTAAAACTTTCTTCCAACTTTCACTGTAGATCAAATTATTTGCCCCGATTTCTGTTTAGGCTCGTTTGATTTACAGTGACTTCCAAAGGTCAATTTCATTACTTTCATTTCCATGAAGTAAGTCTTACCGTCAATATCGTAAACTTTAAACAGAAATTTGATTTTATCGTCAGGACTTTTTCCTGCGAACTGATGCATTGCGTCCAGAAACTCCTGAAGAGATATGGCACCAGAGTTGTCTTTATCAAATATTTCGAACGCCCTATCAGTGAAGAATGGCTGAAAGAGAAATGATATTTTCTCGAATTTCAAATTCTATTTTCGAAATATCTCCGATTGCTTATTGCATAATTGTACTTGGTGACTTTATGGAACAAGAGAACTTTTTTGAACTTTATTACGAATTACACACCATTTTAATCGTTCGGTTATAATATTAAAAACATTTCACACTCACATTTTTCGAAGTGACAATATTATTAAATTCCTCGCGTCTTATTTCCTTCTCATTGCCCACCATTTGCTTGAAAATCTTTTCCAACCATTCTAAACTAGCCTTGTCAAATCCGGCACGTGGTCTGCAGAAGCATTGCAAGGAATAATATTCGCTGACAACGTTTATACGAAACAATAGTAACGTGATTTAAATCACCTTCTGTCGGTGAGATTCGTGATGAAATCCATAATTTGAATAGAAGACACGCAGCCCTCATTTTCTTCGTCAATCAGGCGAAATAATTTGTCTACGACCTGTGTATAGTAAATTTAAGACAGGAAACGATTAAGAAATTTCATATAATTGAACATATGTAATTAACACTTTCGCAACAGGCAACGTAGACCTAAGTCATTTCAAATTCTTCAGCTGAATATATTTTATCAAACAAAAAAGTTGTTCCTATACGCATTTGTAATGTTTAATTTTTTCGAACTTTGAACAACAAACGACTATAAGTATCATACTCAGATGTAATATTTTTTAGATTCACATCAATTAGCTGCACACTGTTGGAAATTATATGCCCGCATTCAGTTAAACGTTTCGTCCAGCCATCGCCCGTCGCGAAAGTGTTAAGTGTAATAATCGAACTACATGTTGCATAGACATTTATACAGTATAAATATTCTAAATTCATTACCGCATTTTCATATTACTTTTGCATAGATTTTTTGCATCTTTGTCTCACCTCTTTAGTGGCAAATATCCGTCGAAAGTTCGCGAGGTTTATAGAATCCTCGCCGCATATAGTGTACACGACACTATCGAATTGATCGATGAAAGTATGCTTTTTATTCCTGTTAATAAAATAATAGAATAATTTAATATCGTTTTCTTTTCTTAACACTAAACGTTAGACGATCAATGTTTCTTAATGGAAACAGAAGCGAAAGAAAAGACAAAAGTTGAGAAACTGATTAATCGGACAATGTAGGAATTCGGACAAAGTTAAATCAGCAAGAAAACATAGAATTGTCAATCAAATTTTGAAATCTGTCTTATAACCAGTCGTTAATAATGAAATATGTATAAATTAATTTTCCATATATTTAATTACTTCTTCAATAATTTTTTCATTTTATAAAAATAATCCAGACATAATTTGAATTATTAAAAATAATCCTAAAACTGATCTGGACGTTTAGTGTTAAGGCAGCTTCGTTCGAAATTAAATATTCCTTACATTAGTCTGCTCTTTATAAATTCTATCCACTCGTCTTGCTTCAGTGTTTTCTTATCGTTTTGGTCGAACAACGTGAATAACTTCTCCAGTAATATCTGCAATGTTCAATATAAACTGTGTTAGAGATTTCGATTGTTTTTGTATGAAGATTTCTTGATTAATTGCAGATGTAACAATGAAATACAAGAAATTTGTAGATTTGGACAATAGTTGAAGGACTGAGAAGACAATTAGTATAAGTTACATTTTTATGGTACGCAGCTTAAAAGAGTATCGTCAAAACTTTAAGCTGACGAAGCAATTGGAACACTTTCTGCAAAAATAACACTAGAAGTACTGAACAAAGAGAGTGACTTACGAGATTACTATAATTATTATAATCCACTGTGATCCTTAAAAGAACACATTTCTTGAGATTTACGAGACAAATATATAAAATTTCGAAATATCTCATAAAAGTATCTTTATAATTTTAATAATTTAAGAAAAACCCTCAAAACCAGTCATTACCCTATATGGTAGTACTATGTACTAGTGTTAAGTTGAAATGCAAAGGAACTAACATAAGTGCATCATTAACGGAAAGTTTTAACCCTCTTCGTTCGAAAGGCGAGCCAGGGTCGCCACTTCGTTTTAGCTTGGTTTACGAAACGCTCTCAATATGACGCACATCGAATTCCATAAACATTATTTGGTAAGTATCTATATTAATTTTTATTCGTGCAGTTGCACGAATACGCATCTTAATTGACTATTTTTAAATTCCCAGTTCCCAACATCCAAACGAACGAACGTTAGCTTTTCTGAGAATAATAAAGTAAATAAATAAACCTAGCGTTAATACAGTAAAACGAAATAGTTTAGTATGCAATACCAACTGTCGCGTAACGTATTAATACATGAGGTATCGCGGTAGAATAGTTTTGTTTCTTAATTTGTGTGTGATTCCTCTTTATACTGAATATAAAAGATATTTTAAAGTCGACATTTTATCAAAAAATCACGAATATTTCCAGTGAAAAGATCGCCGAGCGCAGAGGGTTAATAATAGAAACAGTCTTTAAATGTTTCGAATGAAAATGCGATTTCTGAGCCCTCCAATTATTGGACTGATTCAAGGACTGCAGCAGTGTCACGACCGCAATCGTGATCGAATTCTGAGTATTCCGAGACGCTCGAGGCGTGAAGGCTTTTTGGCCCCGGGCGATCCACCACCTTGATCGATATCTGTGGCCCTCGATAGATTCCCTAGCCATTTGCTACGATCCTGTCGCCGCTGCCTCCGCTCTTCTCCCTTAAGTCATTCTCTATTCGATATTGATCTCGCCTTCTTGTCATTTACTTTCAATGGAATCCGTGACCTTGTTTTGTTTCGTGTAGCGCGACGTAGCGACGCTAACATCTGGGCCTTTTTCTACTTTTTGACGGCCGCTGTCGCGGACGCGTGATTTTAACGCGGTCGCAACCACGCGACACGTGGTACATCGTGCACCGATTCATTCGTGCAGCCCAGCGTCACAAATGTGTGATGTTGGCAATTATCGCTGCTATGATGATATTGATACATGACATTCGTTCCGATCTTCATCAGTTACTTTGCAAAACAATGAAAAAGCGGAAGATATGCTTGGTCTGGTATTAGATTTTATTATTTTGAGTTTTTATAGCAAATGGTCTGGTCTTTAATCGACCGGTGTGCGATACAGGTTCATCATTTTTGAAATTGTTTGAACGCACCAATATTGTGAATGTCGTGTATTTTTAATTGCAGAAGCTATAAAGTTACATGTTTCTTGCACTGATTCTACAGATTCCCCTATATAAAATGGTATAGCTTCTGTAAATGCAGCTAAAAAGAAGAATTTTAGTGAATTTTGCTCGTAGCAGAATTAACAAATGTGAAAATTAATTTATTTTACAATAACGTTATTTTCATTGATAATTTTATCGTACTTGTAACAAAGAATTAGTGTTACTTTTTTTGGTAATATTAAAACAAGGTATCTCTCGCTGTAGCTTCTAAGGATTAACGATAATGGTATGTAGTCCAAAAAGCCTTCAGGATGGAAAGAGATAACCAAAGTCCTACGTTATTAGAAAGTTTAATCGGTGTCTACAGTGCTTCTCCATTCAAGTATATTATAATTATACGTCGTGAACAGATGTTAAGATCTATAGGTAGTACGGTGCGCATTGGGGTATTTGCGCGATTTTAGGGGCCAAAATTAAAGACAGGTTTATATCGATTTTTCACAAGAAAATATGAGAATATAATATAGTGATATACAATAATACGCAATTATACGACATATAACAATAAATTTATTCATATAAATTGTATATAATTTCATATAATTATATAAAAAAATGTATGTTTGTACATCATATATTACATGATGTAATAGACAATGATGTAATATATATATAATACAAAATAATAAATAATAAATAATATATAATTGTTTAATTTATTGATTTTCTGCAAATTTTCTATACTAGTGGGCAAAATTAAAGAATTTTTAAATTTCTGTTGAAAAGTTGTTGAAGTTCAAAATGATATAGATTTATAAGAAAAACATTCGTTTTGAAGTATTAAATCTTAATGACTTTAACTTTTCGAAAAACTGCAGGCGGACGTATGCGGAAAATTTTATTCTTGGATAACAATCTGAAAACCTTACTGAATACAACTGCGCTTGAAAGAAAATCGGGACGCATCTTGATCTACGACAAAATCAGTCATGAAGTTGTACAACTGTGTGGAATATCGATGATGTATCAGTTTTGTTAAAATGTCGATACTTACATCAATATTCATGGTAAAAAGGTAATGAACTATTAAAGACAGAGTATATACTTACCTGAAAACTTTGATACTGAAGAAAAATTCGTACAACTTTTCCAAAACATATGAAATATGTTGCGAGAAATTTCAAGAGTAAAACGCGTAGTCGAAAAATGTCTAACTTTCGGGATGGCTCAGCACTTTTCGAGTGCTTCAAGGATAAAGAAACTTTGTAGGACATTGTACCTCAGATATTCAACTATCTCAGATAGCAAAAATTGTTCGGTTTAGGTGAAATTTTTAAAATGGACTTTTCGCCGCCCATATCGGGCGAATACCCTACTGTGCGCCGGCTGTTTATGAAACTGCTATCGCCAAATATGCAGCCTTCAAAGTATAAAGTTACAGCAAATCAACATTTAGTTCAAACGAAAAATAGTAAAGAACAATTAATGATAATAAAACTTTCATTCAACATGTTATTCCTTAGAACAACACGTATAAGATTAATTTTTGAAAACATTCTTTTTCACGATCTCCAGTAAAACTCTATTCTCACCGACATTTATTACGAAGATGACCTCAACATCATTTATCCGAAGAATTGTGTGTTTATCGCACAATTGGAAATAATTTTCTCCTATAGTTGATCGATACTCCCAGACGCTTAGCTGCCAAGGAAAATAATTATACCTACTTGGTAGCAATGCCATTCCATACATTAATAGAAATATTCATTGCGTCACTTGCTTATTGATCAAGTTATTGTGTACGCTCTTATCTTGTGCGAAGGAAACATTCTACAGTGAATCTTCGTTGAGAATTCAATATTGATTTGGTGACATAACAGGTTTCTATGATTCTACAAATCACGTCGTAATGAAGTTAAGATTGGTTTTGAAATCAAATTTCACAATAATGCCACCGGCATTCTTGTATTAGTATATTTTCAATTAAATCCACGTTACTGTCCTGCTGTGAAGTGTTAGCGGTTATTCTACGCGGCGAGAAGTCAGGGAAGCAAGGGAATTCTTCCACTCAGAATGTTCGGGTCGCGTCGGTTTCCATTATTGGCATCATTGGCGACATTATTGGCGCGACAATAACGAAGGAAGAAAATGAGACAGTACGTTTGCATTATGCGATTGTTACATTACATTTCAGTCCGTTGTATTTAGTCTCGCTTTCCTCCGTTGCTACTACCGCATGGCTAATAACGACCACGTGCCGAAGGTCGAAGCGGCCCAAACATCGTGAATGGAAGAGCCCCCTTGTCTCCCTGACTTCTTGTCGCGTAGAATAACCGCCAACACTCAGCCGGACAGTAACGTGGTTTTAATTGAAAATATACTAATACGAAAATGCCGGTGACATTGTTTCGAAATTTGATTTCAAAAGCAATCTTAACCTCATTACGATGTGATTTGTAAAATCATATAATTCTGTTACGAATACCGATCGTTCTTTCACTGGCAAATGTTCATTGTATTAAAAATTCTATCAGTTACAGTAGAAACTAGAGAATATTAAATTATTTCCAGTATTCTCTGTCTTTACTTATTTTTAGCGAATTTATTAATAAACTAAATTTTCTATTTCTGTACGTTCCGACAGAGGATTTAGCTTAAATCTTATTATTCTGACTGAAGACTCGTCTTAAATTTAATTATTGTAATAAAAGAGTTATCTTAAATTTTATTCGTCTTGTTTTTCGAAAGTGAAATGAGCTCGGTGGTTAATAATAGCGAAGTGAAAAAGAAAGGGTGAAAGAGTTCTTTGTTTAACGCTAGATTCACGGACGTTTACCACACAGTTTGTTCTATTGTCCTTAAACAATTGATATTTGTTCATATGGATCTTTGGAATAGAAGGTTTAAAATATTTACCAAATAGTGTTTATAAAAGTCAGTACGAGTCAAATTGGCTCGTTCCACAATTCTAGTGTTAACAAATCGTACTTGTTTCGTAATAATCATTTCATTGAAGACACTCACTTGGTCCAGAAAAAGACGCCTGAACGTGTCTCTATTATATCGAACGGTGCCGTTCACTTCGATTATTTGGGAACACTCTTCCAAGGTGGTCGCTCTCCTCCTTTCAATGAGGCACTTATCCTCCATCTGACTAACGTCACTCTCCATTTTTATTCTATTTCACTCTTGTATGAAGCACAGATCAGATTCCCCAATTTCCAACAAAATTCTGTCACTCTGTATATTTACACGCGACTTGTTGTCATTCCATGTCACCCTCGGATCTAGATGAACCGAAGGAATTTGTCGATCACGTTGACTCCAATAACTACTCTCGATAGATCACGATATTTAAAATGAAAAAAAAAGAATAAATAAAACACGAGTTTAGTATGATAATTAATTAGTAGATTCAGTGAAAGTAAACTCTTAATTTATGTCACTAACACTTCACAGATGTTTGAAGTTGTTTTTTTCAAAGCAAAACCGTTTCACTTATTAACAGAAATATTTCATTGAGAAATGTGCTTTTTATTTTTAAAATTGTTCGTTTCCTTTGTCGAAGATGAGTAAGAAAGTGGAAATATTTTTTTTTTGAGAGAGAGAAACACGCGTTCACCACTTGTCGACGCTCGTTGACTGGATTCGCCCGGCATCACCGCGTAGCGCCAAATGAAAATCATCGATGCGTATCGACGAATCCGTAAGGCGAACCCCTACCTCCGCGCGGACCCCTTTCGGTACCAATTTTTCAGAACATTCTGTGCTTGGATCTAGAGAACGGGATGCCTTTCGATTTCAATAAAGATCACATGCTAAGATTCGAGGAACAGACAGACAGATGTATAAACAGACGACCTTTCACTTTTTCGTGAGTCACCTTTCTCTCCCTTTCCCCCTTTTATCTCGTTTTTGGGACCCCCGACTTTTTCCTTCTCCTGTGTAAACTTTTCTAATGCACCACCGCCATCTTTGTTCGTGTATAATGTGTTACATATGTAATAGCGTAAATAAGTTTTGATGCGTGTGCGAGCATGTTCTAATTTTAAGAATTTAATTACGAGTCATCAATGAAATGAATAGTTACAAGGTTATTACTGCGATTTATTGTGAAGGCAATTGGACTAAATTTTGAAAGTTTAATTGTGACTTATCGCGAATGCAATGGAACTAATAACTCTAAGATTTCCATTATTTGATGTAACCAATAATTTAAAGGATTTGGTGAAGACTAATTGAAAACGCAATGAAACTAATAATAAAAAAGAAACATTGAATACATCTTAATATTTTTACATTACAAGCCACTAAACATATACACTTTGAGCAGTATAATATATTCACTTACGTTGAATATATTAATAAAAAATTAGTCTGTTGCCTTTACATTTACTCTATTAAAAATGTTTCTTAAATTTGAATATTTCCTCATTACTTTAGGATTCTTCACATTCATCTCAATTTTCTACGTTACCATTCATTTCATTTGTGTTTATCTTTAAACATTATGTGCACGGAGTTATTGTGTATATTAAATACTTTATTGTAAATGTTTGTTGGATAGTGTTTTACAAAATGAATGAAACAAATAAAATACAGTATCCGTTTTACAATAGCCATTTTGCGTCACCTTCGTAGCTAAGTGTAACTGATGCGCTTATTTTCAATTCATTAAGTAGGACTAGGTAACATTTGGTTTCGGTTCGAAACCTGATTTTCAGGTTCGTACACAGCTTGGAAATTCCACTTTCGTTTGTGTGCTTCCCATTCAGGAATGTCATTTTATTCACAAATCTGGAAGTTCGATCTGTTTGAACATTCAACGCAACTCTGAAAATTAAAGGGGATAATAATATTGCTTATTCAACCTGGCTGCCAGAAGTCTGCATTTTCTAATGACGAAGTGGTCCGATCAATGCATCTTCTAAAATAAAATCAGTTTGCACTGATTATAAAACTAAAGTTAAACACCAGAATGAACTACAAATACGTATATGTTCGATTAATAATAATTTCGTACATTCCTTTTTTCTAGACTCACAGGATACATGGATTTTCAAGGTCCTATGAATATCCTTACACTTGGAAAGAGATAAACTCCAAAAACAATAGATTTCTTTCTGTAAAAAATTCTTCTCTAAGAAAATATAAACAAACAGGAGACGTGATCTCAAGTATTCAGTAAATAGTTACTATAGATGCGAATTGCATCTTAAAAGTGAAGATACCGTATAATCTATTTAAGTTTAAAATTTTCTTTGGAATTGCAGTAATCTTTGAGGAAGCTACAAACAGTGAATTTATTCAATTTAGACAGTGCATTCATTAGAAATAAATACATGCATTATATCTAATAATATCGATTATTCAAATGAATAGATAGAATAATTCTTTGAAAATAACGAATTTTCATAGCGAATCATTCAAAATATAATACTTGAGTAATCAAAATTTATTTGGTTGGGTATATTGCATGAACATTTATTCGAAACGATTCGAATAACGCTTGACTGTAGCCTGAACGTAGCTTTAAGCAGGTTTCGCGTACGATTCGATCCATAGAGCCGTAGGAACATGCGCTTTCGTGCCTGCACCTTCGGCTTTTCAGTAGCTCTTCACTGGAGTTCGCGTCCTCGTTGTTTACTCGCTGCATCCCTCCGCAATGAGCAAGTGAAAAATATCGTATGAAAGTTTATCGGCGGGCATGACCGTTTTTTAAACGGTCAGTCGCACAGTGGGCTCGCTTAGCCTTGCGTTTCGAAAAATTCCACGGAAATCGAAAGCACTGCGTTCGTCGCGTTTCGAAAAGGTTCGTCAGTTTCTCTTCGTACATCACTTAGATTCTATTGTTTCGAGTTTCTTTTGTTATCCTCGGTTCCATATCGCTTGCCTGTGCAACGTATTTCCAATCGTTGTGTTTCTTCCATTCAGTAAAACATAAGGCAACACAGCATGGTTTAAGTACACGAGAATAGCTTTCTTTTTTGGTATTTAATTTTTAAGTCAATTATTTTTTGGAGTTTAGACACACTTTTAAAGTAGAAAACACAAATTATAAGAGTACACGAAAATTCATTGTTAGAATTCCTGTCGGTGTTTAGCATCGTTTTTAATTAATGACCAATTTATTTCCAAGATTTTGTGTAAGGAACTTTCGAACATCATGAAACTTTCTTTAGTAGTGTAGGTACTGTGTATTGAACAGTGGACCTTTGCAATGATTTCTTTGTGTGTAACGAAATCAATTTGTGAATTATGGGAATTGTGAACTCTATCGTTTTCTATTGTATAGTTTTTATTTTTTTCCAGTTCCTGATTGTCAGTATCTGTACCCAATATATTCCGTTTGTTCGTTGGTATCCATGTATTTACGTTAACATGGAAGTAATAAAATTCACATAATTATTGAAATATATAAAAAATATTTTCTGATAACCTTGATTAATTCATATTAATATGTAAATTTTATTTTCTGTACCATTAATAATCATTATTTACTGAAAATTTCATTAATGAACAACTTTTTAAATGAATATTGAGATATTAAATTGTACAAGCATAAGAAGTAAGATGATATTCACATTCTACGAAATAAATCGTCTCGGTTTCATTCGGATTCTCAAATTCTTGCTAAAATGAAAGTTATTGCATTTAATATCGAATTTATAATCCTTTGCTATTTTACAGATGTTTTCGTACAAGCTAAAATGCGTTTGTATCAAGATCATTTTCGTGTTTTGTACATTGTATGTGATAGAGTGCCACAGTGTACCGTGCACATTCAACACAATGTGCATGTGTTGGGTGCAAGACGACCACGAGTACACAAAAATGGATATCAGTTGTATGGGAACACCATTCGCCAGATTTCCTGGTATGTCATTACACTTTTTCTTGAAAAAATGAAAGTAATTATGAAATCGTTAAAATTAATTTAATCGTATCGTTACTTATAAATAAATTGCTTGTACAATAAGTCAGGGAGAAATAGCCCACTTCTTTAAAAAGAACTAATACAGCATCAGCATTGTTAATACTTAACGAAGAATAAAATATATTTAGGAAAATACACATATATAAGGAAAATTCAGTATGCAACTGAAAGAAAATTGAAAGTATTTGACAATTTTATTGAGATCGAGTCATCTTATCCGGAATTACAATATCGTTAGCTACAAATATTTGAAACAAGAAATTATAAATGGATTATTCAACCTATCTTGTTATTATAGGTATTATTAAAAAGATTATAGATTTAGTTAACCTAACTGAAATGGTTTACTTTATATAATTACAGAATTATAAATTACAAATATCATTTAATATAATTACCATATATATAATTATTTAATATGTGTAATAATAAAGTATTTCCAACAATGTTTTCTATAAGAAACATTTTTTTACAAAATATTTCTTCGATAATTTTATTATCGTAACAGATGTATCCGTGAGTTACGTGGCTCAACTGGATGTAATCGGTTCCGGAATGCAGGCGTTGGATAACGATGCGCTCACAAGTTCAGAGGACGTCGAAGCCTTGGGGTTGATGAGCAATCGGTTATCCAATATCGGCGAAAAGTCGTTTTCGTAAGTCGGAATAATCTTTATGTTTGCATAAAGAATAATAAATATAAATTCTGAATATTCATGTTATTCAAAAGAAAATAAATTATTAACATTCATGTTGTTTAAAAAGATATACATTCTTAAAATGCATGTTGTTTAGAAGAATATACATACTCAACATTCATGTTGTTTAAGAAAATATAAATTCTTAATATTCATGTTGTTTTATTTTCTGAACTTTATGTTTCATGAGTAAACTGTGAAAGTTCATGCGTGTACGACGTATAAACATTTTAGAAAAAGTATGAATTGTAAATTTGAGCAAATTTTAATTCATCTAATAAATAAAATTTAATTAATCTAAAAAATAATATTAATTTGAAAGAAAAGTAAGGTATTGAAGATACCCCGATAAACTGTGATTATTATTGTTATTTAAATACACCTGACCCTTGATTTACGCGGACTTCTTTCACGCGAGTCGTTTTCTTACACGGTAAATTGGAACGCTATTTACGTGGTAGCTTTTACGCGCGATCTCAATTTACGCGATCTGAATTTAGTAACAGCGAATAAAATATACTTTTATTTTCTAAAATTTCGTTATTATTATTTCTTTTGTTAAGCTATGTGAAATAAATGTGTATTTCTAAAACTTATACCAGCTTTTCTCTTCAATATCTTGTTTTCTCTTGTACCGACTGGCTCTACTTAGGCGATTTTCGTTCGCGTAAAACGAACCCACGTGAAACGAATTTTCGCATAAATCGAGGGTCAGGTGTATTAAGAAATTTAAGTACAAAGTATTGTCATAAAAATAATGGCAAATTATAATTTTGTCTGTGATGGAAAATTATTCCAATAGTGGTCCAACGGTGAAACTTTCTATCATTTCATGATTGAAGGAAGAAAGCACATTTCTTTCTCAATCATATTCTTCTCTTGTTCTAATCTTGCAAAAACCTTCAGGATACTTCACATTTGATGTGCAATCTAGCTCCTCGATTGCATCTGTAGAAAGATTTATGTTTCTTTCTTTTCAAAGATAAAAAGACATTCACACCTGCACCGGCTCTGTTATTAGAGGTATCGCGGACAGTTTGCGTTCGCTGGATCTCAGTTACAATGCCCTGGAGGACGTACCTTTCAAGGCCTTCCACGACTTGAGAAAATTGAACTGGCTGAACATGCACAGGTGACTGCGTGGAAATGCATTGAGTAAAGTCAATGAAGTTAGAAAAGTTATTTTCATCGAAGGTGTTAGAGGATACCTTTCAACATTTTAATTGAAGATTATTTCCTAAGTTTAGATTCAGGAAAGGAGAAGGGAAATTATATACCGCTAAACTAATCTTATAATCCATATAGGAAAAGACGAAAAGTCAATTGAGAAAAAAATGTTTGTACATAGAAGCTAATTTCAAGTTAAAGTTTTGAAAGGCGACACCTTCGGTAAAAATAGTGTTAATAGAACGATAAAAAAGTACAACGAATACAAATACATAACGAATAAACTACAAATTATCCAAAGTCAACTTCAAAATATCAAACTATCAAAGCAAAAGTGTTACAAATAAAGTGAAGCTGTTCAAGAATAATAAACAACTTCTTATTCGAATTGCACGAATAAGACAGTGTCGAACAAATTGTATTTTCAATAATGAACAAAAATTCATTTGCGTTCAAATTTATTGCTCAAAGATTTATTTGCGTTTAATGAATTAATTGCCATCGAACCAAATCATTACTCCGTACTTACATATAAATTCTTTTATATATTGTATGTTTGTATTTTGTCCTGGTGTATTAATAAGTATTAATACTTTTTCTTCGTTTTTCTCTGTAATTCTCTGTATTTATATGTTAAAATCAAGAAGTGACTCAAAGAATCGCCCGTTTTGGGGCCCTCGAGGCTGAAACCGATTTTTATGCCAAATGTTACCTTATACTGAAACATTAATCATCCAAGATGTTTAACTCAAGTTGACAATTAGTTTTCAAGATACAGGACGTGAAATATACCGAAATTCATCAAGGTGTCAACCCATACTTCTCGTTGTACTAATGATTATGTCAACTTGATGATTAAAAGAACTACTTACAAAGGCTTTGAAATATATTAGAAACAGATTCGAACTTAAATTTCCATTTTCTATTCTGCCAGCAATCATCTAACGTCACTAGACGGCGACTGGGGTCACACGAAGGAAACATTAACAAACGCGTTCTTCGGGGACAACTCGATCATCCAAATCCCGAAGATATTCTCCACATTCGAGTCCTTGGTTTGGCTGAACCTCGACAACAACAACATCGAGGACATATCAGAGAACAGCCTGCCGCCCAAAACGCACACGCTTAGCTTGAACAGCAATCTTCTGAAACGCTTTCCGTCTTCGTTGAAAACTTTAAAGGACCTCACATGGCTGTACCTTAGAGGCAATGATTTCAAAAGCCTCGAATTGCCGGACTTTCAGAGCTCAAACCTGGAACAAGTCGACGTCAGCGAGAACTGCATCGAATGGATTCGCGTGCCCAACGCGACGAATCGCACTTTGAGGATCAAAGACTTCAACTTGGACAGTAACAAGCTATCGTCTTTGCCTGCTGGAATCTTCGATCATGTTGATATCAAAAGGATCCATTTGTCTTCGAATTTACTAAAGAACGTGGATGACGATGCTTTCCGAGGACTCGAGGATACCCTAGAGTATTTGAACCTGGAGAACAATGACCTGCCAAATGTTCCTATCGCTGTTAGTCAGCTGAGGAAATTGTCGTATCTGTACCTTGCCAATAACGACATCAGAAATATCTCCAGCGACGCATTTCAGGAATTTGCGGAGAATTTGCGAGCCCTTTCCCTGGCTACCAATAACTTGGATACTGTTCCTGTTTCAGCTTTGTACAGGTATCCATTTTTTTTGCTTTTGCGTATATTTGTAAGATACAATTTAATGTATCGTAAAAAACATTACAAACAGAAATACGGTACGGATGAAAGACAAAAGATGAGACGCTAATTACCGCACTAATGATCGATTTTTCACTTGCTTCTTTAATCGCATTTATTGCACTGACTTTGAAGCGATTCGCTAGCACTTGCAAGATTCTCTTACTGATATATCTAAACACGCATAACACGTATAGGTCGTCGACTTCTCTTTTTGTCTCAACTCGCTATGGCCGGCTCCGCGATAGAAACATACAACGGACGTCATGGGTCATGCACGCATCGTACAGAAGTACATATGTACATACATTCATTCAACGAACATTCGCGCTTTCGGGCTATCATGAAAATACAATCCCACCATACTCATAATTGTTGAGGATTTTGTAAACAATACATACAGTATTTGTTGTTTAACCATTCAGTAATTGTTAAACATTAGTTGGTCAGTGGTTAGACAATTGCTATTACTCGATTTTGTTTAATAGTAACGAGACTTTGAATCTATAGACACAAGGTTTTATTCCGAAATTGTGGTCCTTTGCTTGAAGTTTGTTGTAACTGTATTTGACAATGATTTGTGCTGACAGTATCTCTTTTGCAAATGACTCCAAAAAGAATGTTTTTTATAATGCCAGTTTTTTCAGTCTTTCTCGAGGTCACTGTTATTTTTTTACAAATACAATATATTTCACAAAAATTATTGTAAAATTATTTATAAAAAAATACAATAGTAAAGGTAAAAGGTGAATAATCTATGACATTTTGGTTTATTATTGTAATCGTATGTTTCTGTTTCTTTTCGAAACAGATGTCAGAGGCTATTGCACTTAAATCTTGGTTATAACAAGATCTCTTACGTACAACCTGGAGACTTCGACTGGGCGGAGGATCTTGAAATTCTGTTGCTTAGGAATAATATCCTGACGAAATTGAGCAAAGAAACTTTTAAAGGAGCAAGTAAGTTTTAAATTGAAATTACTTTGTTCGTAACTATTCAATTATTTTCTTATTTCATTGTTTTTGATATTTTATGCTATAATAATAAGAATATTAGTAATTAAGATTTAGTACAGTATTTTTGTTCAAGTTTTATATTAATATCAGTAATAGTATGAATAGTGTTCATGAATTACTTTAATATTTTTAACAATGACTATGTATATACATACAGACTACCGGTTAATCAACCATGATGCGTAAACAATTTCAGATAATCTAAAAGAACTAAGCTTGTCTTTCAATCATCTAACCGAACTGGACGATGACTGTTTCATCGGCATCGAGGAGAGCCTCGGCATTCTCGAATTAAGTTTCGCTTTTGCAACCGACGTTTTCCCTCAACGGGCCCTCAGACCGTTGTCAAATTTACTTTGGTTGGTTTTGGACAACAACAATTTTCAAACAATAGAAGCTACCGCGTTCTATTCCTTCCAAGAGTTGCGATACATTAATCTGGAATCAAATCGACTTCACTATCTACCAGAAAGAATATTTCTGTCCAGCGTTCATCCAGAACTGAGGGACGTGAAGCTTGGCTACAATTTTCTGGAAGCAATACCAGAATTCAGTTTCCACAATCTGACCGAGTTGAGATCGTTGGATCTAACAGGGAACCGGATAAAAGTGCTCACGTCCGAGTCGATCATCGATTGCCCGAAACTGGTCACGATCTCGTTGGCCTACAACAGAATATTTAAGATGGAGAGGAACGCGTTCTACGGTCTGCCCAGTTTGCGTTTCCTTCATCTCGAGTTCAATAAGCTGACTAGCTTGGATCTAGAAGCGATCTCAGAGATTGGAGGGCCAGATTTCGCGTTGAATGTCTCCTATAACGCGATCTCGATCATACATTCAGCAGGATCGATGAATAACTTAACGAGATTAGACTTAGGCTTCAATAACATTAGCTACTTGCCTGCTGATACTTTTACTAACACGCCGGATTTGAGAAGCTTGGACTTGAGAAGCAACCTGCTGACTATTCTTGAACCAGGTAGGCAGCTGTGATTCCTAGCACCCATGAAGAAAATCATTAACCAATCGTCGTAACGTTCTAGGTACCTTTGAGCTACGCCATTTGGAAACGTTGAATTTACAAGACAACAAAATAGAGAGCTTACGAAAGCAATCCTTCCACGGCTTAGACCTGCTGCAGCAGTTAGATTTAAGTGGCAATCAGCTCAGTCAACTATCTGCCGAGCAATTCCGAAATTTGAATAACCTTCGAATCTTGAATCTAGCTGGGAATAGAATAAGATCATTGCCTAAAGACGTTTTCGAAGGAACCAAATTGGAAATTCTCGATTTGAGCAACAATAAATTCACCGTGGTTCCTTCGTCGTCTTTCTTGGAGATAGGTTACACTTTGAGGGACCTCGATATGGCGGACAATTACCTGGACCACCTCGACTCCACCGCTTTTCCGACTTCGCAACTGGTCTCATTGAATTTGGCGCACAACAGATTGACGATACTTCCAGACAACTCTTTCGTTTCTCTTGGAAAGCTTTTAAGGTTGAACATTTCCAACAGCGCTCTTCAAGCGAACTTTAAGGAGCTTTTTCACTATCTGCCCGGTCTTAGGCAACTTTTCATGGCGAACTGTGGCCTCAGAGACGTTCCTCTTCTTCCTTTGATTAATTTGAACGTGTTGGATTTGTCTTTCAATCACATAGACTCGACGCCTGATAAACAGTTTCAATATTTGAAAAGTTTGAAGGTTCTTTTCCTGCTGAACAATTCGCTGACCTCCATGCCAAATGTGAAATTGAATCTATTGAGGGAGTTGGACGTTTCTGGAAATCCTATAGAGGTAAGATGCAACAGAATACCTTCAATTTTTCTTTCTCGTTTTTTCATTTGAATGTCATTGAACAAAATGAAAATGAAAAATTCTTGTAGCATAGTGTCAAGTCTGTTAAACATTATAATAGCATTTTTGAAACTGGATCTATCGATATGATTGGAATTTTATTTAAACATTTTTTAAAAATCTAAGTAAATATTTTCAATTGATCAATTAAAATTGATTGCTTGAAAATCCTCAGTGAGAATAATATTTCAATAGTTCGAATTGAATTTGCACAGTATGACTATTGAAAAAAATTAAATTGAACAATTCGATTCCAAATAATAAGAAACGCAGATTTAAAAATGAATTACTAATTAATCATTAATTAAATATCGGTTGCTTTAGGAACTAACAAAGGAGAGCTTCATGGGTTATCCTAGGCTGGAGGATCTGAAGCTAAGAAGTCTGAATAGAACTAGATCGGTGGACAAAGATTGCCTTCGTGTTCTGAAATACTTGAAGCACCTTTGCATTCAGACCTGGCCTGAAGCGGAGGGCTTTCATCTTCGCCATTTGTTAACCGGATTGCCATTGAGAACCGTCGAGATACAAGTCACAGAACATTTATTGAAGCACCAGATACAGAACGTTTTCTCGAAGCAGCTCAGAGAGCTGACTATTTCTGGCAGCGATCTCGAGGCGATTTCTTCGGAAGCGTTCTCCACTATCGAAGGTGGCGAACTGATACTGCGGATAAAAGACACTCGCGTTCGCAGATTACAATCGGACATGTTTCTTTCTTTAACGAAAAGATTGTCCCAATTGACGTTGGACCTGAGGAACAATCACATAAACGAACTGAGCCCGTCGGTTATTTACGGGAACCTCTCGTGGGAAAGCGTTGGGACCAATATGGTTGCCGGTGAGAGACGTTTATTGACAGGCACAGTTCATGAAATTTCCGAATATTCAACAGATGATTTCTATAGATTTTCATGTTTTAACACTAGAACTACTGAGCATTCAGTATGGTTCTATGAATCTATTCCTTATAAACATTGTAACAATAGAGCTTCTTCTAGTTTCTTTAGATATTCATTATAGTATTCAAGTGAAATCATTTATTTTTAAAATCGTTTTGGATATTTAGTATTTTTAAGATATCAATATTTGCGACATAAGGAAACTGAAACTATGTAGTCATATTGATCGGTACGGTATTAAAAAATCCAATTGATAAAAATCGTGAAAACGAACTTTTCAGGAGGATTACAAGTATCAGGAAACCCTCTGGAATGCGACTGCGAAATTGCCTGGCTCAGTTTATGGTTGCGAAGATGGCTGAGGGAGTCCCGACAAATTCACACGGCTTCGCAGTCAGACGCTAGGCAACTGAGAATGATTGCTGGCAGAGCGGTCTGCACCGAGACGACGCCATCTTACTCATCGGACAAAGTTTTATTAACGTTAGGAACTCCGCACACCGCTTGCCAAGCTTCCGCCCTTAGCTCCGGCAATTACGAGAGGCTCGCTACCACTTGGCTAGCTATAGTCGAAGTGGTCCTTCTGACAGTAATAGTCAATTGAATTCGGTACTCATCGAACTAGCCTAGAAAAACCGGTTTGACGCCATTTTGTCGACGCGTTTAGAAGAGAGAAGAACGTGTCTGCAAGTAGAAGCTGCCGAGGTTTATCGATATTTTTGTAAATTTCCCACGACCGACCGTTTTTACATGACTATACAGGGTGTCTGTTCTCAAATAATCCACACAAACAATTATCTTCGTGAATTTCGAGTTACGATGATAGAAAATAACATTACATGCAATTTGAACGTATTGAAAGATGTATATACATTACATATGATATTTTGTTCAATTTTTGGAACCGTTATTATTTCGTTTGAATATTATGATTGGCGTTAAAATGTGCGTAAAATTGAATTAGAAATTGACGTCCATCGAGATCTAATGAAATACTATGAAAACATCTATTCGAGTTGTATGTGAGGTTGGAGAATACGTTTAGGTGGCTTAATTTAGACGGAACACCTTGTACATGTGTATATATTTTGTAAAATAGTTAACATTGTTTACTTACCGTTATTTTATACCAAAATCTTTTCTTTCCGATTCACACCTGCAGTAGTTTCGACGAATTTTCAAATCATCCTCTTCGATCATGATAAACAATCGATTCATTTTCATTCGAAATTCGCAAGCGTTTTTGCAAGAAAACGATGAATCTAGCAAATGAATGAACACGGGATGTAATTTTCACTCGTAACAACACATTTAATACTGTCCGCATCGTTTTCGTAGTGGATAAAATATTTCAAACCGATGAAAATTTTTCTACCGCAGAATTTTATATCGAAACTGTAACACATAGATCAGCTGGACCTCGACGTTGTACTGTATACCATGTTAGGCACTCTATATTTTCAGTAGATCGTTGAATGATACACATTATGCATCGAGAATTGATCGACCATTTGTCATTTTCAATCCCTCGCTCTCGCGCCACCGAAGGGAATCAAATGTTACTCGGACATTGTTCGCAACGGATTGACGAATAATACGCATTGGATCTACACACGGATCTCCGTAGAACAATAGTTTTGCTTATCGGGCCTATGACCTGTATCACGGACACGACAAAACCATAAAATGAAATACACTGTACAATTATTCCGAAATCACTGTTTTTCCATCGAATTTGAAAAGAGAAGAAACAGAAATATATGGAGACGAGCTTACACCAAATATTCGTATAATACATAGAATTGTGAACAATAAAAGTCATGGTTTTTTGTATGTACCGTTATAAAATAAAATAAAATAAAATAAAATAAAATAAAATAAAATAAAATAAAATAAAATAAAATAAAATAAAATAAAATAAAATAAAATAAAATAAAATAAAATAAAATAAAATAAAATAAAATAAAATAGAGAATAGAATAAAATAGAATAGAATAGAATAGAATAAAATAAAAATAAAATTAGAATAAAATAAAAGAAAGAACTATGCTTAAACGCTACGCATGTTTTCCTCGCTATCACTCTAACAAATCAACAAAACGAGGTTCAAAATTCAACTTTTTCCGATCCGTTCGAGGAATCTCATTTTATTTACACAAAGAAGAGGGAAAAAAAGTTGTCATGGTGGTTTCGGGGGATAGTTGTGCGTTTTATACAAATGACAAAAGAAAGGCAAAGAGTACTCGCGTAAAGGGGATACAGGGTAAAAGAAAGAAACAATAAGGGGCAAATGGAACAAAACAGAAACAAAAAGACAGTAGAATTGGTATCGGCGAATAGAAAATTTTTTTAGCGACACGTCAATATGATGGATTGCACATTTTGTCCAACTGATCATGGATATTCGCGATTTTCCTACGCGTTTTATGATATCAGGTTGTCTCATAAGTAACGTCGTCCTCTTATCTTACCGTGTAAGGTACTTTTCAATGCCATTTCGTAAATGGCGCTAAGCAATTCATCAAAAAATAAAGAGAAACGATGGTGGATACGTCGAGGATTAAAAAAAGACACGCAAGTATCAATGTTTTACACTAGAAGTCAGCGTAAAGTAACACATTACTTAGGGGATAACCTGAAAAACCGCGAAGATCAGGATATTCCCTTCGCTATTTGTTCATCTTTTCTTTTTTTTCTTCTTTCTCTCGAGCTTCTCTTTATACAGGCGGCGCTTGCGTGTGTTGCAAACAACCCTCGACGTTCTCGGGCCAATCGCAGACGTTCTCGTTCGGGTTGAAGACCAGATTGACCGGGCACGGCATGTGATGCTTCCTTTCTCCCTCGCACATGTAATACATCGTGCAGTCGTTCTTATCCGGGTGATAAGATATGTGGTTGTCCTCCTCGTCGCACGTCACTTCGTTCGCTGCGAGAAGTTTTATCGTTGTTTAGCGATCACGAAAATGATTCGGATGTTACGATAAAAAGCAACAAGCTGTGGTGTCCGAGTGGTTAAGGAGTCAGACTCGAAATCTGATGGGCTATGCCCGCACAGGTTCGAATCCTGTCCGCAGCGAAAAAGTTTCTAACGAAAACTATAATTTTATCGTTGTAATTATAAAAATATAATTATATGATTTTATATTATTATCCGTGTACAATTGCTGTTTTATGATTATATTTTTATTATACTTCGTAATTATAAGAATTAATTATAATGAATTATATTAATTTATATATTATTATCATCATCATCATCATCATTATTATTATTATTATTACATGAATATGAATAAATGAATTAGAGATTATTAGATATATAAATGGTCGAAGAAATCGAATGATTTCATCATTAGTTTCAAACTAGAAAGAGAATACTTACGATCTTTGGTGGTGTACTTCCCGCTCCTCAAATTATTTTCGTAAGGCCCATCGTATTCTAGTTTAACTTTGTAGTTTTGCAGCTCTTTCTTCATAGCTTTGATCAGTGGATATTTTCCTCCCCCGCAGCTTCCTTTAAAGTCGTCCATGTCTACTGACCATATCATTATACCTCCAAAACCTTCGTCCTTCAGCCATTGCATCTTGAAAAGTCAAAAATCACTTACAAATACCATACAAAGTATCCTTACTTTATCTGCTTTAACAGTAATGTAATTATTAAGATTACGGATATTGTGTTCGTTTCACGGACAGGCTCACGTATAAAGAATTCAATGTGGTAGTAGCAAAAGTTTTTCGCGATTGTCTCGGAAATTAAATGCCAGCGACATCTTTTTCAAAGGAAAAAGTGCACATTTCGCGAGCAGACTTGTTTTCGAGAAGGATCGACTGAAAGTCAGTTCGTCACGAACTTCACTACCATCGACGCTACGCGTTTTTTTTTAGTATGAACGCGAATCCACAAACATTTGTGAATAAACTTGTGTTGAAAAACGAGTATACTGAGTCCGCGTCATTTACCGTCCAATTCCTCCACATATCCATTCATGTCTATAATACATTCCGTACGCTCCATTACCATAGATTAACTTCACGTATGTTTGAAAGATTCTAGATTCATTTACCATGAACGCAAAAATCAATATTACAAAAAATCAATTTGGTCTAGAACATTTCAATGCCTTGAATATTTATTCAAAATACACGCACACGCGCAGTCGCGCCATCTATTCATCTATTTATCTATTCATGCACTCTCGCTCATCAATACACCCATTTCCAATATGTAGAGCCATATATGTAAATATATATAGAAATGCATAAAAATCGGCGGTCTAATAATTATTATTGTTTTCTTACCTTGTTTATAAGGCTTCTTTCGTCATCGAAACCAACCCATTGATCTTCCCTGTACGCGAAAGGTACTTGTTGCTCGCTGTCCCAGACTAGTGTTGTGTTATCCTCGTTTAGGAAGCTACAAACCTACATATTTAATGAAATACATTTTTTATTTTAACAATTTCAATTTTATTTTAATGATCCTGTAAAACTGCTTTTAGTGTACCTCATAGTAGGAGAGAAATCCTGATTCGTTGGTGAAGTTACCAGCAGTTCCTCCGCCGGAAGCTGGCGCTCCAATGTCAAACTTCTCTTTGTCCACTAATGTGAAAGATCTGCCATAAGTTGGCATACCGATCATTAATTTTTCCTTTGGAGCACCTTGTTTCACCCATTCCCTCGCACTGTAGTCCTAAAAAATCAGAACCACTCTTAGATTATTTAAACTATTACTCAGTATTAATTTTTTTTAAACTTGAAATGAATGAAATGCTAATTATGTAATTAATTAAATAATCTATTCTAATAAACAATTCTGTGGTAACGTAAGGTAAAGATCTTTTGAGGTATAATTTTGGAATAATTACTACTTACCACTGTCAATTTTTTCTGATAACTGGTAGCACTTTCTAGTGGAAATAGTGGACTGTTATGACCAACTTGTCTTTCCCACTGACCATGGAAGTCGTACGTCATAACATTAATGAAATCCAGATACTTCGATATTTCGGGTACATCGTACCTAAAATTTTAAAAAATTGTATTTAATTTGTTCATTCAATTGTTATATCTTTATCTAAACTATCGAAACTGTGTTGTTGAAGGTAAATGTTTTCTTTTCAAAATACGTATATAAATATAGAAAAATAAATTAAGAAAGAAACTCACCCAGCTGCAATAGCCTCGAAGCTAGCAGGCACCGCAGCAGATAAAATTAATTTTGGTTGCCCTGAACTTTTCGCTTCACCCTCGAAAGCCAATCTAAGTTCTTTCAAGAGATTTATGTAAGCTGCTCGATCATCTCCACCCCTAATTAATGATTCATTTAATAATAAATTGTAATCTCTTCTAAGAATGATAATAATTTTTAATTACGATTATTTATAATCTACACAATTGGTTCTAGTAATCATAATAATTTGTAAATTGTATAATAATATCTAATAATTACAATTATTTTCAGTTTTCAATTATAATAATTTGACTTAGTAATATAAACCATAAATTCTTAATAATGAGTATTTAATTTCAAAGTTTTACCGTGGATATTCCCAGTCGACGTCTAGACCATCGAATTTGTATTCCCTCAGGAAATCAATTGCCTCGTACACAAATTGGTTCATACGGAATGTGTTGCTGGTTAACTCTTTGAATGGCGTTGAACCGAACGCCCAACCACCGATCGCCAATAATATCTGCAGCATAAAACATTGATTATTAACAGTAAACAGTAATAAGCATTAATCTCTAAAAAATTACAAATTTTTTAACATAATTAGGGAAATCCAATTACGTTAGAAAACAGCTCCTTCTGACAAATAATTAGATGTAAAAAGCGCTAAATTATGAATATTTTAAATATCTTTCTGTATTACATACATTCTCTGCAATTTCGCATTCTTGAATTTCCCATAAGTTTTTCTTCATGCGAATGTTATTGATTGCTAATAATGGTTTGCGTAATAAATGTGATGAAATAAATTTTATTAAGATCTACACACTGCAAGAAGATCGAAAGAATAATCGTTACGACGAACCTTGATTTTAACGTTCACATTTCATGAAATAAATCTTATTTTATAGGATTTTTATAGATGCCATCAGTCACTTTGTTAATTACCAGACTACTGATTGGCACAACCTTCGTCTAATGAGTCGATAAATTAAAAAGAAAAGGTTTTACCTTGATGTCTGGATTTTTATCACGAAGAGCGATCAGCCGATTGTACATCTCCGAGTCTTTGTCACTTTCCTCAACGAGCAGGTGGTTCTTCAAGGTAGCGAACGCGTAGACTATGTGAGTGCAAAGGGTTGGATCGATGTCCTCTGGCATGAATTTTCCGACGCCAGGCCGTCTGTGCGACCAATTCGTCAGGTAGCAAATAGATTGAGCCTCTCTTTCTGTAAACGAGAAATGAATAGATTTAAAACAGAACTCGTTAGTACGATACATCCAATTCCAAATATCTATCGCATATTTTACTTTCATTTTATTTATTTATATTTATATTTTATGTACATTGTATTATTTTCAAATCAATGTTTCATTCAATCTATATATATGGAAATTTTAATATTTCCAAATCAACGTATTTACTTGTAGTTTCTACTCTAAACATTTCTTCCCGATTCATGTTTATTTGCCAGAATCGATGATAAGGCACGTAGAAAAATGCCAAGCATTTGATCTTCAACAATTACTAAATGCCGTGAAAAAAAATGGTTAAAAGCATGACAATTGAAAATTCTAAGCTTACCGTTTGTTGGAGAACTGATGACCAGTTGAGTCGTTGGTTTTTGGAGTTTCTTCGCTTTGTTAAGAACATCCGAGACCGATATCTTATAAGGTTCTGGTTTCTTTTGGACGGTCTCGGTAATTGTGGTTGCAACGGCACTCCAATCGACGTCCTTCGCGTTCGATCCTCTAGAGATTCCTAGTAATTCCTCCCTCATCGCGCCGATCAATGGGTATCGAACGTTTCCGCCGCAAACGGTCCCGTTAAAATCGTCCATGTCCACTGTCCACACCATAGCACCGCCATAACCTTTGCTCTTCAGCCAGTCCATTTTCAAACGGATCGATTTTTCATCGTCGAAACCGACCCATTGCTCGTGTTGCACCAAATATGGTACCTTCATTTCGTCGTCCCATACGTAGGCCGCGCCATTTTGGAGCATTTCGCAGATCTTTTTCGACAAAAATATACAGTTATCATTAAATCATTCTCCACTAATTAACATTCTTGTATATGACTCTGAATTCTACTTAAATATTAGGAAAAAGTTATTAAATTAAATACTAGGAAAAGTTCGCGTGGTTTTCTTGTTAGCCAAGAATTGGGGTCCGAAGTTTTTTTTAATACCTCATAGTAAGCAAGAAATCCGGATTCCTTAGTGTATTCTCCAGCTTTTCCTCCGCCACTGGCGGGCGAGTGCACACGGAAATTCGAAGGATTCGACAAAGTGAAGGACCGACCGTAAGTCGGCATGCCAATTATCAATTTTTCTTTAGGCGCACCAAGACGGACCCACATCGAAGCTGCATTGTCAACGCTGAGCTGCTTCTGCCACTCGGAGTCCAACGACGAGGCGTACAATGGGGCGTTGTGGCCAGTTTCCCTTTCCCATTTCCCGTGGAAGTCGTAAGCCATCAAATTAATGAAGTCCAGGTAACTATACAAACATATAAGTGCAATTATAGTTTGGACTTTATGTTGTTAACCCTTTGCGGCCGAATGCCGTCCCAGTGACGACTTCGAGCTTTGATCTGAAATCGAAAGCTACAAATAAATCATTTCATTATTCAAGTAACAAGAAATTCATATGTGGTTTTCTTCTTTTCCAGTACTTAAAACTTCGATGCATTTTCAGTTTTTTTTTTGTATGGGACGAGTTTCCAAAAGTTTAACAGACGCTCATCCGCAAAGGGTTAATACTAGAACCACCAGGTTTCAGGTGATTAATATGATTCAGTTCAGGTTTATTTTCTTACAATGTGATCAATGTGATTTCTTAATTTTAAAGTTAATATCTTTATAATGAATCACGTTCGATTTATAATTGATAATAGTTTTACCTGGCAACGGCTGGAACATCATATCCACTTTTAACATTGTCGGGACCAACTGGGACAGCAGCGGTTAAAAGTAGTCGCGGCATTTTCTTTTCTTGTGCTTCAGCTTCGAAAGCTTCTCGAAGTTCTGCAAACAGAATGAATTTTAATAGAATCACGTAGAAAAGATGAGATCCGTAGGGATGGTGTAACCACACATTCATAAAGATTTAAACGTTTTGAAATTAAATTTATTATACAAAACTATATTTATTTTTCAAATGAAAGCAATTAAATTTATTATATAATTATATAATTGTATTGCAATTATTGTTGATATGAGATGCACAAATGAGATTCATAATCTTCTTATGCTTTAACTGTTTTTTTAAACATCAACGCTGTTTGATTTCTCTTTGTGATTGGACTATGCCGTGCTTACTATATCATAAGGTATTTCCTTGATTATTGATTGACGGTACCTTTCAACAGAAGGATATAATTCTTCTTGTCATCTCCTCCTTTCGGGTATTCCCAATCGATGTCCAAACCATCGAAATTTCGGTCTCGTAAATACGGTATAGCGCTGTAGATGAACGTTTGCCTGGCGTACCTCGTCGAAGACATGTCCTTGAACTTTTGGGTACCGAACGACCAACCACCTGATAAATATTATACACGTGGACTCTGATATTTTATATTATCTTTATATTTAAAGCTTAACTGAAACTCTCAACAGAGAGTTATAAAGCTAGGACTCTGATATTGTTCAACAACTATGGAATCCATTTAATTAACGCGTTCACGCTGGCAAATATGTAGTTCATTAAACTGGTTTGGTAAGTAGAAAAAGTTGACGTATAGTTGAAAATTAATTTACTCATTGATAATTTCAATGCTTTCAACAATCTTAAGAATTCTGCCGTCAGATGGGAAAAAGCTTGAATCACACCGCCGGCGTGAACGTGTTAGATCGAGGTAATAATTTATCTCGCGTAGATCTGCAAAAGAATTATAGCACTTCAGCGAAATTCTATTAAATGCCTAATGCTATAAATAACTTTTCTGCATTATCCGTGTAATTATTATGTCAAGGACATTCAAACATTAAAGTAAATTTGTAAATTAGTTTATGACAGTTTATATTTACTTCACCTGTAGATTATGGTACATTATTTTTAAAAGAATACGAGTAATGTAACTCACCGATGGCCAGTAAAATTTTCAAGGACGGATTGGCCTTCTTCAGGTTCACGATTCTTTCGTAAAGTCCGGTTTTTCCGTCTTTCGTTTCATCGTTCGATTCGAAGCTGGTTAATTTGTTTTTCTTCAACCAGCCGAACGCGAAAATGATGTGCGTGCAGAGGTCAGGTTGGATATCCTCGGGTAAGAATTTTCCAATCTTCGTACGGTACTGCGACCAGTTCGTGTAATAACACACGAGCTGGAAATATTACAATTACACTTATTGTAATACTATGCTTATACTCAATTACATAAATATTATTTGTCTCGTCTTCTCGATTGTAGAAACCGTATTGCATTTACGACTGCAAATATATATAGTATTATTCACTCTGAAGTTTACGTATCGTGCACGATTCTTATGAGAATAGGATTAATCGAATGATTTACACATTAAGCACATTACATTTTTATTTAACTTCCACTTATACGATATTCGCTTATCAGTTTCAATGAAGCAATTATTTTGTTCAAGGTAACGAGTGGCATTCTTCTGCAATTAACAGTCGCTTTAATTGTTTCTGGAATATCAACAACGCGAGAGACATAAATGGCAGAGATTTTGAAATTCCAAAGATGAATTAAACGTTTCGTGTTAAACAAACGTGTTTTATGACTACGTGTAATTAAATTTCCATTAATTTGATACTGATTTTAATACTTTAATACAATTTACATTCTCTAGAAATACAATTACTTAATACAATTCACGTTCCTTAAAAATTATTTATAATTAAAATACAGAACATTCTTTTCTGAACTTCAGTACATTACAATAATCGCGTTGCTATGCGAAAAATTTGTTTTTACTTTAGGAATATCTGTGTCGCACAATATCGTCATACCTACCTTGTAGTCCTCCGACTTGCCGGTCTGAATTTCATTCTTCTTATTTTTGTTGCTGATACGATTTCGCGTGACTTTGAATCTGTTCACGCTGGCGGACACTTCTTGGTCGTTCGAACTCGACGAGCTACTACTTGTCGACGGCCTCCGAAATCTTTTTCTTGCGCCTGTGCAGGTAAATTTACTTCACTTTATTTAACTCTTTCTTTTCCCTTGTCCAGCTTCTCGAGCCCGAAGAAATTCATTTATTCGAAATCACCTGCGTTTAATAGTTCACTCCCTTTTCGTTAAACGTGAAATATTGATCAAATCAACTGTATTGAATGTAATAATAAATAATTCATTAGGTTTAACGAATTTAATTATTTATTTCTAAAGAATGTAAGGTCAGGAATGTTAACTTTCTTCTTGATATTTTACTTTTTATTTTAACCCATTCGCTGTCAGCTACTGTTTTCCAAGAATGACAATTTAAAAAAAAATGATAAATAATAATTAATTGTTTAGAATAAGTAAAGTAATGATTTTGGTTTGTCTGAAATCAATTTTTGATACTCAGAGCAAGACGTTCTTAATTTCTCCGGCAGCGAAGAGATTAATATTACATAGAATTATTTGAAAAATTATTTTCTTTCCATTGAAACAACTTAATTTCTTTATATCATAGTATCTGGTTCAATTTATATGAAATTGATTACCTTCGGTGTCATCGAGGATCCCGAGAAGTATGATCAGGCAGACGAGCAGCAGCCAGGTCGTTCTGCTGGTCGACACCTGAAAAGAAAGTGGGCATGATATTACATTTTAATGCTCGAGAGGGAATGGAACGCGAAACTCGAAGAATACTTTTTATTGTTTTATAGTAACTATATTGCGAACTTTATGTGCTTACATCATTTATAACTTCCAGCAGCAGAGTAACATTTTTATTTCATTTTTATTTGCATGGAAATTATATTACATCGATGCCCATTAATTAGCTTATTTAAGTACACAACAATTATTTTCTTCCTTAATTTCCGTCGATAAGTGTTTATAATCAGTATTAATAAAAATTGACGTAAAATGAATCAAATAGGTGGTTTGCTATAAATTACTTGCATATTATATACTACGACGGCAAATCTGTAAACACAATAATTTTGTTGTTCATAACTAATTTCGTTATCTAATAATAGGTCACAATGAAAGAATAGAATGGCATAAAACGAATTTTAGATGTGGAGGCATTTCCGGTATAGAACAAAAGCTGGAGAAAGCTATTGTGGTTTCTTCAATGAATTACGAAGCAAAACTTTAATAACGATTCACTGAAAATTGAGTTTCGAGGATTTCCCTATTTGCCTGGAATAGGTATAATCGTCCACGCCAAAAAAACAAAATTACTTTACCACGGAAGGCTCTATAGAAAGTTTCGTTCCATTTGAGAAAATATTTGGCTACGTAATTGTTGAATACTTTAATTGCATCCTATTAAAGGCATTTCCCTCGTTGAATTTCATATATTGAACTTGTTTTTATTTACAGTAATATCAGGTGTCAATACGATATTTTTATGTTCGCGAATGAGTGAAATGAAAATTATCCGACAATCGAATCACTTAAAATAAAAGAAATAAAAGGCAGAAAGATTGAACACATGTACCCAAACATTCTTTTACTTAATTGTTTGATATTCTTGCGATTAATGCATGCATCACGTGTATCTAGAATAAAATTAATTCTGTTCCAAAAGAGTTTCACCGAATAAAAATGACATAACATATTTATCTGAATGTATTAAAAAATGATTTGCGTAAAAGTGAACTCGATGCTTTTTCATTTAATCAACTATAACATGGGAAAGAAACAATCGAATATAAATGGCGAATATGTCGAAAATTGAAAGCTATATTAGTTCTTGAAAGTAAATGATAAATTTAATTTAATAAGATACCAAATTCATTTCTGTGGCTGATTCACTCATATATGCATTATTGAAAAGATCAGTGTAAGTTATTGTAAACATTTTTTATCGCAGTAAAAGTTCATTGGAATCTCCTGCATTTCATTCCAGGGAAATGAGTGTCATTCGATTATACGAAGAATCGAATGTAATTAAAGTCTGTCCTGTCTTTTTTATTTTTTTCTCTTTAGGAATGTAATAAAAGCAATATCATTTCAGAGACCAATGGAAGCAACAGACCTACGAATGAACTTTCTACAATTTACACAATTATAGCATCAAAGCGAATATATTAAATGAATGTACTAAATCAAATCTAAGTAAGCTAGTATAGCCGATAGAAAGTAAATCTCACTGCCAGAAGTGATTAAAATTATTAACGCTAGTAGAAATATCAGTTACTACATACAACTCATGCATACTTTAACCAAGTGGTTCTCAACCACAATTCTTAGAAATGATTAACTCAATGTTTCCGTGGACAGTAATTTATTTCTACATAATTGTAGATTGTAAAATAATTTTCACTGTGTATTCTACAAATAAAAATGAAAAGTAATTATAATATCGTGTAAATTACATATTTATTAGTAATATCGTGTAAATTACATAGTACAATTGATGTACTTTGTAACGTTACTTTCACTACAGATGAAAGTATTTCTAGTTATGACTATTAAATTTCATTACTTTTACACTATACAGACACAAAATAAAAGTTTGTAATTAAATCCATCGCATTGTATATAAATTGAATAAAAATGACACTTCGTGTGTAAATACATAAGATTAATTAAGTCAAGAACGAACATTCTAAATAGATTTTCAGGGCAACTTTATTTCACACATCTAATTTCAAATGAAAATAAAAATTCATTTTCAACTGAAAAAAATATATACACTGCAGATTTTTATGCATTTACGGGAAATTTGAAAGTGCATAACTGCATAAAATGCACACAGTACGATGACACGTATAAAATATCCAATGTATAGTGCTTTTTATAATATTCATCAGAAAATACCATTTTCTATGGCAAATCTATTTTTTCAATTACGCTCTTTAAAATTTTAATTTGCATCAAAATTCACAGTCTAATATTAAATCATCTTGCTTTGTGACTAACCGCAAAATAGTTAACACTAAACGTGCTGGAACTTTATAATAACCTGTTTCTGCCATAACCAGCCTAATAATTTTTTATAAAATAAAGATAAACAAGTTTTAAATTTTTCTCAGTGGAAACAGAAGCATAAGGAAAGATAAAAATTGAAAAAACGATTAATCGGACAATATAAGAATTGATATAAAGTTAAATGGTCGAATTTTAAATGAAACTGTAATACCGGTCACATGACCAATCAGGGTGCGTTTATATTGACACACGCATACTTACAAGCGTGGGCTGAAATTCGATGAAGGAGTGCATAGATAGACATTCGAGAAAGTTTGAGACAATATTGCCTGCGAAGCAAAAGAGAAAAATAGAACAAGAAAATAGGAAAGCAACCGATGAAAAGCGTTTCAGTCACGAGCCTTAAAGAATCTGGCTTATCGCGCCATTGCATTTTACCGTTTCTATTTATGTCAACGGTGCTTTCCCTTCATCGTTACGATAAGTGTCACGAGAACGTGAGCAAAGATTTACCCGTCTAGATCTCTCCATTGTGTTTTAATCGCGAGCGAACACCGCTGCGCGCCTTAAAATACTAAAAACCAAGACCAGAATTTTACGAAATACGAACTCTAAATTTCGAACTTCCGTTGAATCAGCGAGATTATCGAACGACCGGGAGATAGAAGTATCCAGCTTTATCCATCAATGATTTTGAAAGTGAAATCGAGTCCTCTAAGAACATGGAATACTCTGATTTCACCAAAGCCCGAGATTTTTTTTAATTTTGGAAGTTACATGATTAACGAGGACAATTTGTAGAAGATTGAATATTGTTATGAAATATTCTGTACGTCAACGATGAGATATAAGTTTGATGAAATAGACTTGTAAATTTTGATTTATGTTTGTTAGATCAATGATCTATGATGTGAATGTTACGAAGATATAAAAAGAGCATGTACAGTCAGTCACGAAAGTTGAAATGTACTTGTCAAAATTTGAATATTATAACAATGAAAGAAATGTTTTAAATGTTTTATGAACATTGAATAATTTTTTAGTTAAAATTAAAGAAACTTTGGAAAAAGAGTATAGCATAAGAAAGAATAACGAACAACTTATTCTTGAATGTATAATCTATTAATTTTCTAATAAGAAAATGTAAGAGAATGTGTCGAATTTGAATTTGGAAAATGCATTGATTTCATGATTTCTATGAAACATCCAAAACTTGTAATATCTTTGAAACGCTTAAATAATAAGTTTACGTATACTTTCGTGACCGACCTGTTCCACTTTATTTTATGCACTATTGTCAGTTAACGATCAACAAATTTCTCTTGATCCGATTATCCTCTATTCCACTGGGAGTTTCGAACGAATCTTTCACAATCTTTCCACGATACAGTGAAAATACTTTACAAAGAAAGATGGAGATTGAAAAACCCGATTACATTCTTGGCGTACAAATGAATTTTTTTTTTCTTCTGCGTCGTTTTCACTCCATTGTCATTTACGTCGCAATTACGCTGATGAGACTCTTTTATTATGTTTCTAATTATTCCACGTTATACTTTTTAGTTGCCTCATTATTATCGTTGCTTACTAATTAACGCGATGCTTAAAGATTAAGGAACAAAACCGCGAACTGTATTCTTTATGGAGGAGGCAACCACGCGTCTGACATGTGCATTTGCATACAAGGATTTCTCTTCTCTCCTCTCTCCCGCGCCATCATTTCTTCTCTGTTCATTTCTTTTGTTTTCCAGTGAATGAACGCGTCTCACCTATTCAACCGTTAGAGAATTACATGAAATATCAAATTTTTGCAGAAGCTGTTACTTTAATGATACCATTATTTATTTTATCATGTTCAAGAATTTACTTTACAAATTTTTTGTTCAGTTCTGTAAAATGTTAATTTCTTAATGTGTCGTTCGAGAATTATCGGATCATTTTCAAATTTCTAATGTATATTTCTATTTAGATAGCTATTTCAAATATTTAATATTCAGTAGTAATATTTCATTCTTTTTCTGTCTCATTTATACATCTATTTGTAATTTATTTGCTGAACAGTGCAATGTCCCAAATGGGAACTTTGGGATGAAATGGGTTGACTAGAAAGATTCTATCAAAATTGAAACACTAAATTGTATCTTTTCCATAAAGAATCCAAACCATCCTCCCAATCAAACGAAGGATCCCAAGCTTTTGAACGGTGTTGTATACCCACAATGGCCATGGGTTTTTCGCGTGTTGTATAGTCGGAACAAAATCGGTTGTCAGTTCAAGGTCACGTGGATGTTATCCCCGCCACGTCGTTCACTTGTTCCATTTCTCGTGTTTCCGCGGAACTTTCCATTTCGCGTCGAACATTTTGCTTTTGGGACACGAGGACAGTCTAGCGTAACGATGAAAGCAGGAAGCGGTGCTTGTTCTTAATTTATGTATCGGCGGCCTTGAACCATCCTTCGGTTTTATTCCGACTATATCTGCGCAAATATTATTAAGAAACAGAGACAACTAGATGGAGAAGAAAAAAGAGAGAGAGAAAAAGAGATATGTACGCAAAAATTATAGGTAGAAATAGGTGAAGAAAGGAAAAAGAAATAGGTGAAGATAAAGGGGGATAGAGAGAGAGGGGGAGAGAGAGAAAGGGAGATGGGATGTAGAAAAGAGTTGTACGCACAAATTACAAATAAAGAGAA